TTCATATATACAAAGTAGTGAAAAAAGTGTCCTAGGGCACCTTGACATTAGAAATACTGTCTGAAAAGCCGTGAAAAGTGGGTGATTTATTCAACGGGGAGGATTCTGTGCTTCACACTTGTCCACTAGCCACGACGATACATATACCATTCGATAGAGAATTCCACGCGCTACAATTTCATATATACAAAGCAGTGAAAAAGGTGTCCTAGGGCACCTTGACATTAGAAATACTGTCTGAAAAGCCGTGAAAAGTGGGTGATTTAATCAAAGGTGATCATCCTGTGCTCCACACTTCGGACACGCCCGAATCGTTTGTCGTTTTAAAGCTTCATACATCTTTTTTATATCGGTTTGTTTTTGTTTTCGAAAAATCTACAAGAACATCTTGAATCTCTGACTGTAGATCAGCATTTAAGTAAAAGCAGAGGCGACGGAATGATTTTGAAACTGTTAATACTGAAGAACACGCAAAAAAATATTTTCCTGTTTTTGTCCATTCTGATAGAAACAAAAAGAACTGTTGTTTTATTTTTATTTTTCACCTGACACAGAAATTCTCTATAGTAAAAAAATCACACAAAACATAGTATGTTTATTAAACGCTTTTTTTGGACGTTATTTTTTATTAGAAAATGTAGAAAATTTGATTCTCTATCTCCTCATAACTTTTGTCGAAAAATTGGTGGGTCAATCAAACTTCAATTTTCACGGTCAATCAAGATTAATTTTTTATTGTTTTGAGGTTGATATTCACCATCAGCGTGAAAAACGGCTCCTGATGTGTGATGGTGTATGTTTAAGGATTGTCTGAGCGAAAGAGCATCTTTCGTACTCGATGACTGTGGGAAACTTTTACGTGGACAGACTCTTTAATGAACATCTCAAGAACAAATAGATCACACTACTATAGTTTTAGTCGTATTGAAATATTTACAACTTTTTTTAATTGAAATTGATTTTTAATTTCTGAATTTTCGTTCGAGATTATTAATATCTTTTTAACATTAATATGACAAATCAGATAGAATTTGGTCGTTATCAAATTCTACTTTCAAAGATTTTCTATCCATTTTCAAAAATTCCTTTTGGTGTCTTTGAAAAAAAAACTCCTTTTCATTTGTCACCACCAGTTCAACAGAAGCCATTTACCTTTTTCCTCAAATTTCTCGTCCAATTTCAAAGTCCTTGGGCATACAGAGCAACATAGGGAATTTTCTGGGGTTCAAAATAAGCTGTAAACGAGCTAAGTTCTTGGTTTTTGGTCAGAAAATTTTGCGAACTATATAGCCTGATAGAGCAAAGAATTCTAAGGAAAACTAGACAGCTCCAGCAGTTCTTCCACTCCCGACGTTAAAATGTAAACGTGACTGTTTATATCACAGCGCGCATTCCTCGCCTATTCAAGTCTTCTGTCATCATATAACTCGACAGACAGCGAAATATCCGTAAAAAACAGTCGTTGTGTGAAGGGCATTGCTCGTATATAAAGAAAAACTCAAGTTTTGAGCTAAAAGGCGTCTTAGTACATCGAATTTCGAATTGATAGTAGTCTCATTAGAAAGAGCACGTCGAGTTACGTATCAAGTAAAAAAATCTCTCTGATCCAAAAAGGTTATCTATGATTTCTCAGGCCTCGTACAGATGGGGCCAAAAGAACATGACACCAATCGGGGCGGTATTCCGTGATTATCAACTGTAAGAAATGGAGAATCAAAATCAAGGGGAAAAAGGCGGCTCCGGGAGCTTTCCGGAGCCGTTGAAATGTTTTCGGAGCTTGAGATGCTATACGATATTCTGCGAAGCGTTGTGATGCTATACGGAGCTTTCCAATGCTCTCCGATGCTATGCGGAGCTTTCCAATACTAAGAGATGCTGTAAGAAGCTCTGCCATGCTACGCGATGCGCCAAAATTTCCCGCAAACGGGACAAAAAGGTTCTGTCTGTGGGAATATAATTCACAGAACACAACACAACTGTTTCGTTATCAGGAAGCGTTTTCCAATAAAAGAACGGGATTGTTCTGTTTTGGGGAATAGAAACTTGTTTTAAAAATGAAAAGCTGTGTGATGCTCTTCGATGCTGAGCGATGCTAGGAAATAAACGAATCGCCTTTTCCTCCTTGATCAAAATGGTTCATATATATTCGGATAGGGGTAACGTTTCTGCGTCGAATGATACTATTTTCAATGTAATATATATGACTTTTAATGGACTTATAGGGCAAAAATGAGTTTTGGGGCTCTCGGGAAATGACTCAGATTTTTCTCGGTGTTGGTTGAATCTCAGAACAAAGGTGATATTCGTGATCAGCAGAGCCAGTTCTATCTGGTAAAATAGGTTTCATGTGTAACGGAGGCAAAAAAGTTTCCTTGATGCCTGGGGGGTACCCCAGGGCTGAAAAAATAACTTGTCGTAAAGTACAAAATGCTCAGAATTAAACGCTGATTCTTGGGCAAGTAGTCTCCGGGCCACAGTTTTTGGGCACGAAAACGCCAAAACCGCCACACCTCCTTTGTAGAATCGTTTCTTCTTTCTAGGCATGCAACCACGAAGAAAATCCAGCAATAGATGCTGACGTTCTGTTCTTGAGAAGACGAAAAGAAAAATGGTGACCCTATACATTCAGGAAATTCGATAATATGAATAATCTGATTTTCTCAGGTTGTTGAAAGTCAGTTGAATATTAAATGGCGGTCATGATCAGGGTTTAATGTGAGCTTCATAGGAGTAAAAACAATTGCCAGTTCATCAAACGAGCTGATGAAGTTCGTCTAGGGGAGAGACTTTTGGCGTCTAGTGTATGCCGAAAATAAAATCGGCCGGATTGTCGTCTTGTTCGCAGCGAAAACTGCCGAGGCAAAAAATGGAAGAATATCGACAGCTGGGCCGTGATAGATACAGTGACCAGCAGCGATTAGAAACAGAATGTTGAATAACTTAAATATTAAATACCGAGGCTGATGGATAGAAAACATGATCGTGTCTTGAAATGGCAAGAATGAATGAGAATAAGTTGGGACCAAAAATAACAACTGAAATAACTTACGTCCTCTTTTCGAAAGCCGAACGGTGCATTCGATGACATTATTTGCTGTCGACGGATCGAGACCTGGAAGAAACGGTGGACTTCAGAAAATTAACTCTTAACTCGCATTTTATTGACCAATATTTATTAAAATGAGAAAGCTGCAGAGATGATTTAGTTTCAAGCGTTTTGAAATTATTAATCACAAGAGGAGTGCGCGATCGTAGTCAAAACCAGTTACCAAATATGTATACGATATTTGTGAAGAGACATCTGTGGTCGCTCCCCACTCATAAACCATTCTCTTGTGATCACTGATATGGGCGCCTATTGGCATATGCTTGTGAGAACTTGTATTTGCAGAAAATATTCGGACAGCGAGCTTCGAGGGCGTTAAGCCCCCGTGAGGGGCTAGATTCTAGTAGCAAACTGAGCGCTAGTTGTTCTTCTTCAATATGGCTGTTCAATACTTCGATTTTAGACTTGAAATCCTGGCACTTGGTTTCCAAAGCTCGGATAGTACGATTTTGCTCTGTGCTTTCCCTTTGTAATCGTTCGATGCTACGTAGTTTCTCTGTATGTTGCCTTTGTAAATCTTCGATAGTGTGGATCTGTATTGTGTATTGCATTAGTAAAGCTTCATTGATGTGGGCTTGTTCTTTGCATTTATTTTCTGTGTTTTCTAATTCATTCAACGCAAGCTGCTTGGCCGTATTAGCACGTCGTATGTCACTGATTTGTGACTCTGTGATTGGAAATGGTTTGAGATCGGCAGTAAAGAGTTTGATTAATTCTGAGCGATATTCACAGATTGTTACGTATTCATCGAGAACACATTCATTTCCATTATTGTAATTATCACGGTTAATGGAACCTGAAAAGAAGACCCCTAATTTGAAGAATGTTGCGATTTGTTTGAAAAATGAATCCTCTCGTAATTCTTCTTTTATCTTGTTGCGCTGTTCTTGATTTTTTGATTCACAGTGCGTAACAACCAAACACGAATTGCTCGAGATTTCGTCACCCAAAAACTTCACTAATAATTCAATTGATTTGACATCATCTCCATTGATACCAACCGTGATAGCAACACAAAAACAAATCACACTGAAACTGGTAATTTCCATGTTAGCACATTTTTTGATAGTATTTAAGATTGCTTCATTATCACGAATAGCATCTTTATCATCACCGCGTTCAAACAGACCTGGTGTATCAATAATGTTAATTGTAGCACCTATTTCCGTAATGTGAAATGATTCTATGTGAGGATCTCTTGTGCCGGATTTCAGTGTCAATTCGTCGGATACTTTGGCGGGATTCAGCAGTAATGATTTAATCGTTGATTTTCCTGAACGTGTTCTACCTATGATAATGACATTCTTACTCTTAGCTTGTTCCATTTTATATTCACCATGTGTCTCGTAATCAGTTGTAATTTTTCCCAAAAGATTTTTACGGCTGGCTCCTGCATCCTTAGTCGTACGTATTTCACGAAGTGACATCTGGAAATGCGAGAAATTTAAAATAGAATGTGTACATATTATATAGTTCATAAATCATAGCACGTTCTACTACGTAATATTTTCATATGTCGAAGCAATTCACTTGAAAGTTTCGCAGTCATATGCATCATGCTAATCTTCGTTTTCGTTACAATTCTAAATATAAACTGCTCTGCGTACGAACATATGTCTACAAAATTCTACAACTCGCAGAAACAAGCAAATGAGATAAGGCATGGCGCCAGAGTTTTTAGTTTTTTGTGCTCAGTAGTAAATCAGTTGGCGATAGAGGTGGCACATTTTCTTTACTGTGTCGTTACTTTACTGCAAAAAGTAACGCTTTGAGTTATCACCGTACAAGTTATGAGTAACCGAAAGGTTATTGTTTTATCGCCTCCCGAACACCAGGCTACCAATGCGTTACTATGTTGCACTTTATAAGTAGCGAGCAACGCTCTTTTTGTAAGAGTTTCCTAGTAAGCTTTGTTCCAGGTGACAACTTGAGTTGCCGGTAGGTTCCTCGATGCGGGCCTGTGTTTCCCGAGCTCACCTAGCTTCCTTAGAAGCGCGCTCACCTCTTGAATCAGTAATGCAGATGGTACTTTATCGTTACTAACGTAAGTAAAGTAACGCAAAAGCGTTACTCGTTACCAGTAAAGAAATAGTAAACTGCCATCCTCAGTTGGCGACTTGTAGACATGATCGTACTCACTGACATCTAACTTTCCAAAGAACTACTGAATTTTATCTCCAAGCGTCTAGAATTTACTAGGCTCTACTTTGAAAGTGCTACGAGTTTTGGATCATAGGTGTCATGGTCGCCCATGCAAAAAATTTAGACCAAATAATCGGATTATAATCGATTAAAAAGCGATTATAATGCATTAAAAGGATGTCATTATAATCGATTTTTAATCGTAGCAAATAATCTGTTATAATAGATTATTTCTTAGGATTAAAGATTGATTATAATGACACGTTTTTAGTCGATTATAATTTATCACCACATAGTTGGCAGCAAAACTTCAACACATTGGCAACCATCCAATCAGACAGGAGATGTTTATCTTTCGTCGCAACCCCTCTACTCTGTTATCGGAGATCGGATCCTTCATACTGTCGCGCATCTCCTCCAATATTCAGAACATGCGCGATGACAGGAAAAGTCTTCTGTCTGATCAACAGACTAGATGGCGAGCAACGAAAGATAAAAACATTCTGTCTGACGGACAGTGGGGAGAGAAAAATTTGCTGGAAAGTTAGGGGACGCCAAAACAAAAAAAATCTGTCTCATGAACAGTACTGGGAGGTGGAAACAAAAAATTCTTCTTTAATGTACAGTTGGGGGACGCGCAAAGAATTGAAAAAATTCGTGTCTGATGGACACACGAGAGACGTGCAAAGAAAACAATTTCTGTTTGATGGACAGAGGGAGGGGGGAAGCGCAACGGAAAAAAGTAGTCTGCCTCATGGACGATGGTGGAAAGCGCAAAGAAAAAAAATCGTGTCTGATGGACTGTTAGGGGACGCGAAAAGCAGAAAAATGTGTCTGTCTCATGGACGGTGATGAGGGGGGGAAAGAAAAAAATCTCTCTGATGGAAAGTGGGGGGACGCAAGAAAAATCGAAAAGAATTCGTGTCTGATGGACACATGAGAGACGTGCAGGGAAAAAAATTTTTTGTCGGATGAACAGTGATGGAAAGTAAGGTTGAGTCGACAGCAACCGATGCCCAGCGGTGGCAAGCGACGGCGAGTGATGGGGAACGATTTCGACTCGACGACAAATGATGAGGAGCGACGAGAAGCGACGTAGAGCTATGAAAAGTAATGTCGAGTCGAGGGCGAGCGATGGCAAGTCGGTGGAGTGAGGAGCGATGGTGATTCGATGGGAAGAGGGGCGTTAACTCTTAACTCGCATTTTATTGACCAATATTTATTAAAATGAGAAAGCTGCAGAGATGATTTAGTTTCAAGCGTTTTGAAATTATTAATCACAAGAGGAGTGCGCGATCGTAGTCAAAACCAGTTACCAAATATGTATACGATATTTGTGAAGAGACATCTGTGGTCGCTCCCCACTCATAAACCATTCTCTTGTGATCACTGATATGGGCGCCTATTGGCATATGCTTGTGAGAACTTGTATTTGCAGAAAATATTCGGACAGCGAGCTTCGAGGGCGTTAATCGCCGAGGGACTATATTGTAGTAGCAAACTGAGCGCTAGTTGTTCTTCTTTAATATGCCTGTTCAATACTTCGATTTTAGACTTGAAATCCTGGCACTTGGTTTCCAAAGCTCGGATAGTACGATTTTGCTCTGTGCTTTCCCTTTGTAATCGTTCGATGCGAAGTATTTTCTCTGTATCTTGCCTATTTTCTCAAAAAGTTTCCATGATGCCTGGAGGTACCCCAGGTGTGGAAAAATGACTTGTCGTAAAGTACAAAATGGAAGTGTTCAAAATGCTCAGAATTTAACCTCAAAAATTAATTTAAAATTGCACCAAAGAATCTAGCATGTTTCTATCACGAAAGCTTTGTCGACCTGAAGTTTTTCGACTAGCTCCCGCCGACTGTCGAAGAGTTTTAGGTTATATGATTTACGGACCGCGTATTTCGGAACTCGGATGTAGCACTTCCGCTCAGTCATTCAATACTTGATTTTGACAAACACCTATAATAATGACTTTATTGAAAACAGAAGAAGATTAATGCGGTTTTCAAAAATCTTTGGAAACGAAAGTCTTCTGGCATGAAGTCTGGTTTCAAAAAAGATTTTAGTCCTGATACGGAACTTTCATTCAGTGTTTATTAAAAAACGCAAAAAGGTCACATTAGTACTCCACACGAAAGAGAAACTAAATTAAAAATTTTACGGAATAAAACGCGTATCACTCTTTCAATAATATTGTCTCAAACATTGAAAAAAAAACTTCTCTTTTCTGAGTGTCTGGTGCGATGTGTTCAAACAATCGATTAATTATAAGATATTGCTCATACTGACATTTCTCAGTACTGAGAAATGCGATCGTTCATAGACAAATAAACGATCTTTTACTACCTTTGTACGCAGAGGCCGTATACGATCTGTGTTTTACTCTATATTTAACCGTGTATGATCGTATTTCTCTGGGTATATTTACGAAGAAATAAAAGCGTAACACAGAGCCATGTAAAACACCGATATACAATCGTATAAGAATTCCGTATTCTTCACCCTGGGCGTTTATTTGCTGTAAATAATCGACGTTCTTGGTATACGGTCACGAAGAAATACGATCC